GCAGCGGCTGGGGCCAGCTCCCTACCAGCGAACAGGCCACTCCGCACTGCGTACAGGACACTGCGGCCTGGTGGACACTGCTAGCAGCAGCCCCATGACAAGGATGGGGAGTGCCCAGCTCTGGGGCGGGACATGAGGATTCTTGGGGATTGGGCTGCACAGGCCCATCCCCCTCCCAGTCTCCGCAGCTGCCTTGATGTCACCCAAAGGAGCTGTTAGGCACTCACCCATGGCAGAGACCCAGTTTGAGCCCGGAAGGATCTGCTGAAACTTGTCTCTGGGCTGTCCATGGCTGGTTAATGATCATTAAACATTGGCCAGCAAAGGTGGTGTCGGGCTCTTTGTTCCCCTTCTTCCTCCCTCCCCTCTGCATGGCAGGAGTGTGGGTGGGCTGGGCAGATTCCACTCTGAGGAGCTGAGCGTGGGGGTGGCCTCCTTCAATCCCTCCTGCAGCTTCTGCTGGGGAGGAGCTGGTCTAAGTAGGCTCAGTACAGCTGGATCCCAGTGCTGCCTCTGCCAAGGGCGGGGTGCAGCCACGAGCGGGTCACATGCTGTCCTGGGGCCAGCAGGTGGGAGGGAAACCCCCACTGGGCTCAGTACAGCAGAATTCCCTTGGCACTTGAGCCCCAGGTGATGTGGCTCATGGTATCGCTGGGGGAATCCTTTCTTTGAAGCCCTCTTCCCCCCCCCCTTCCCACTTGGTTCCTTTCTAAGCCTGTTTGGGGACTCGATGCCCAGCTATTCAGTCATTGCCCTAGGGGTGGGGGAGCGGGAAGGAGAGAGCCTGTCCTGACACTGCCACTGATCACCTTGCTGCATTCCCGTTTCTGCAGCTGGAAGGGATAGTCCGTACTGACTGACTGGGGTCATAGCATGTCGACGAAGGGCACTTGGTCCATGCCCAGATCCAGTGAGCATTGGGACTGGCTGGACCATGCAGCGAGCCCCAGAGATGCTGGACTAAAGGACCCTCTGGAGCCCTGAGCAGCTGAGCACAGTGGGACCTGCCTCTCTGCTTCCAAACTCTGCCAGTTCCTGCTGGAGTTCCTTAAACAGCCAGTAGGTGCCAGCAGCTTCCGCCTTATCACCCTGCTGCTCCTGGGCCTGGAGCCGCCTAGCACCCAACCAGAGGGGTGCAGGGAGGTGGGTACCACGGGGCCATGTGGCACATCCAGTCCAGTGTGCGGGGGAGGGAGGCACAGAGTGGGTTCTGTAGATCTCAGCAGGGAGAGGAACACAGATCCCAGCCTAGCACCCAACCAGAGGGGTGCAGGGAGGTGGGTACCACGGGGCCATGTGGCACATCCAGTCCAGTGTGCGGGGGAGGGAGGCACAGAGTGGGTTCTGTAGATCTCAGCAGGGGGAGGAACACGGTCCCCGCTCATGTGGTAGCACCCGGGCAGACCTTGACCTCTAGATGGGTGCCCATTTCATCAATTTCCTTGGCCGGGCCCGATGGCCCCTGGGCTACCCAGTGGCTTGACCCTCCAGTGCTGAGATGGGAGCTGCCCCAGGTGCTGCAGGGCCTGGGGGGCAGGTTCCTGGGTGCTCTTCCCTACCCCCACCCCACCCCCCAGGCAGTGCTGGCCTCCAACGCCCTGGATTTCTCTGGGCTGGGCATTTCCTCCACACGCAGGAGAGATGGGCTCTGCTGGCAGAGTCTGTCCCAGGCTGGCCGGCGGGGGCAGTGCTGAGCTGCTAGCCAAGCAGCGACTGGTAGAGCCCTAGAGCGCTGGGCAGGGTGAATTCTGGGGGGCATTGGCAGAGGGGTCTCTTAGCTCCTGTGGCCTGGCCAGTCCTCTACACAAGCAGCTGTCTGCCCCTGCTTCCCCTAGGCTGGTCACTGCAGGGTGGGCTCCTTCACTTCCTGTCCCACACAGCTGTGGGGCACTCCTGTGGCACCAGCTTCCCCCAGCACGCGGCTCAGAGCCCCTGTAGCCTGTCATGCCCGAGCCAGGCCCCTGGTGTGTTCTGGGCTGGGCTTAGAGGAATCATCTGCCTGGCAGCCCCCCTGGGCTTGGGCACCTTGGTAGGGTACCCGGCAGGCTGTGGGTTGTTTGCACCATGCTCGGCTGGGCGGGAAGCAGGGCCCTGGATGGGGGATGGGACCCGCTAG